ATATATTTATGGTAGGAAATTTACAAAATATCTTCATGGAACATGATCTTTACTTAATACCCTAATGATTTTTGGCATAAAAGAAAAATCGATACTTTTGACCCATTCAATGTATTGTTGACTATTGCTACAAATAGTGAGCGACTTAAGACTGGTTTTGTGGTCCAGGGTCACCTATATTATGGGACTTGTTCATTAGCTGTTTAATGCAGGAACATACTAGATTTTTTCCCCTTCACTCATTTTACTTGTTTCCATACATGTCAACTGGCAGTAAAGCATGCATTTACTGGTAAAGGTGGGGGAAAAAATTAAATGTAGGCCTAATACAATTTCTGGAAAGTCTGAACATTACGGGAATAGGGAATGAAGTTGTGCCACCTATGGGGAATATTGTTGCGGTGCTTACAGGAATATAATCATGCTTTTAAGAATGCTCTCATAATAGTATAATGGTAATAGAATGCAGAGTTTTAAGAAAAAAATCCATAAAAGATTAAAGTTAAGACAATAAAGTCACAAAGAAACTAGCCTCAAAGTAGACATTATAAAACAATTAGTAAAAGGCTTAATTAGTAAAAGGATATGGTTTGACTTTATTTTTGTAAAAGGGATATTTTGAAATGATTCCCAAACATTGACTTTTTATTCTCAAAATTGTAATTTTGTTATTTTTATTTTAATGTTGCACTAAAATGTTGTCCTACTGTACAGAAGTCTCAGATGCTATCTCAATGTCAATTATACTATGTATATACAAACACATTACACTAATTTCTGCGTTAAAAACATTAAATGTAATTGAAGAACTGAGCGAGAGCGAGATGATGGCACGCAAGGATTCCCCTCCCCCCTCTAACCTAATTACGCTGGCCTTCACTGGGCTGATTTCAGCTGTGAAACTTTTAACTAAATTGCTATTGATTCCAGAGTGAGAAAGCGAGTGTCTAGCCTTCCATTGCAGTGGTTGCAGTGGGTGCGACGGCTTGCCACTGATCAGGAGAAATCAGATTTCTCTATGCCTGATGCACGGACCTTTCGTAAGGCCCCCAGAGTTGATTCTAATTATGACCCGAGCCCAGCCTCTTCCCAGCAGTGATGAGGTCATGTGCAGACATGGTGTCTTATAAGAGGGGACCAAGATGCTGGTGGCCTCACTTGGTCTCAAGAGCGCTTTCTCTTGCCATTTCATATGCACTCACCCTGCCCTTGAGGGAGAAGGGAAAAGAGATGGTAATGATGCCATCTCGTCTGTCCTGGATTCCGTCTCTGGGGATCTGAGTGCGGAGACGCCATCCTTTTCAACTGACACATTGGTGATGGCAACTCAAGGTCCTCCTGCTTGTTAATGGAGAAGAGATAAGCCTGCCTCTCATTCATTGCTAGGTGTATGGGAAACATCAATAGTTTCTTGAAATGAGGCTACCCAGCACTTCCCAACTGTCAACATTGTTGGCAGAGGCATCAGTCATTTGGTAAAAGCAAAAGTACCCTTGAACTGAACGGTACTTGTAATTTACAATAAACAATGTGTTTATCTGGCAGTTTGTTGTAAAGTTAAGCATATTGCTTGCATACTTTCAGTAAATTTTATTAAGTCTGTTTGGCCTTAAAGGTGGGGTAAGTGATTTCTGGTAGCCAATGTTGATATTTCAAATCACCAAAACAAACACGTCCCTACCCTAAAAGGGTCTCGCCCCTAATTTGATAGCTCCGCCCCACACATACGTACGCAACCCAGACAACGATTAGTTCTGTGAAACAAAGCAAAACCAATGTTACACCGTGTCTACACCGGACGCGAGCGGCGCGGAGCGACACAAAAAACTATTACTCATTATAATCAGTGATACTGTCTACACTGGATGCGGCGCGACAAAATACTATAGAACTCATTATAATCAGTGATACTGTCTACACTGGATGCAACGCTGCGCGGCGTGGCAAAATACTATATAACTCATTATAATCAGTGATACTGTCTACACTGGTTGCGATGCTGCGCGGCAAAATACTATATAACTCATTATAATCAGTGGTACTGTCTACACTGGATGTGGCGCGGCGTGACACGACAAATCCCCGACAGAAAACTGCTGCTGCGTTCTGATTTTCAACGGTCGATTTGTCACGTCCGGTGTAGACACTGTGTTCACCTATTGATAAGAAACAAAGCAACCTCTGTGTCCGATCGCAGGCCTTCCTGCTCCTTGAGTTCTCTCCAGCACTGGAAAGCTGATCCGATATTTACACAGGTCCTACTTCCTGCCTTATCGTAAGCCGCTTTTTCCTCTTTTTTAAAAATTTTTTTATCAGCCATCTCTATTTTTCTGCCGCTCGGCTCGGCTAATGTCTGTCCTGTGCACTGAGCGCTCTCTCCTCCGCATCATGAGTAGACACGCCCCTTACTGCTGATTGGCTACAAGTTTGTTTTGGTACTCGGCCCGACTCAGTTATCTAAAGCATCTTTGAAAAAATACATATAGCCCACCTTTAAGATGCAAAAATGTCAATAAAATGTATTGTAGCAAACTACTTTTAAGGACTCTTTTTTTTTTTTCTTTCTCAAGGTCTAGGATTCTTTTATTGTGCATTGAGAAATATCCAGGCCCAGATGCCGTTTAGAAAAAAAATAAGCTCTTTGCTTCTAATAAGTTTTGAAAATTTAAGCATTTTAGCTTAGGGTAAGACAAAACTACCAAAGAACATCTGAAGACTGTGACTCTTAAGTGCCCATTTCGTGTTCTGGTTTATTTCCAATTCAACACACAAAAAAAACAAATTAATAAACTGTCAAAATTCATTGTCATTCATCAAAATGAGCATATCCAATGACTTCCCCTCTTGGCTAAAGTGGTGAGATATAATTTGTAACTTAAATGCACAAATGTGTAAATAATTCAGTAGCTAAGCTCCCAGCCCAGGGTCTATGTGTCTCCACAGGGCTAGCTTGGCACAGAATCAAGGATGTACTAGAAAGAGAGCACTTCACTTATTATTTCATCAGGTCTCTGGAGCAATGTATGCTGGTGATAGATTTAAAGTTTTAATTAAAGCTAATTCAATTTGTTGCCAGTGGCAGATGTATTTGTATGTTGGTCCTCTGCTCATTTTATCGGAATTTATTTTTTTTTTTTTTATTGTGGGCATATTGGTACAGTCATTGACTCAATGTTCCGATGCACTGTTGAAATGCACAGTTAATTTGTTCACTCTAGGGTCTAATCCAATGCAAGGTAAGTGATATACAGGGTTCACTGCTGGAATCAGGTATAGTAATGACTAAATACACACATGCGCATAAAATCACACACTTTAACAGTGTACCCTAAACAGACACTTGATACTATTCCTTCCTACTACACCAATACCCTCAGCTCCAACAGACTCTAGACAGAGGCTTTATCTCCACCGTACTGACTTAGGATTACTGCTCAAAATCTTGTCATTCTCTCGTTAAAAAGGTGAATAAGAGGATAACTGTCTGAATGGAGGGAAGAGATGGGACGCATAAACCTTCCACACCTCCAGAAGTCAGATTGTTTGATTCGTAAAAGAAAGGCTGGGAAATGAGGAAGGATTAGCGTAATGAATTTGAGGGTATTTGGACATAGGCCATGTTCTAATAAAAGACAGTTTGGAAAACCCAGTGTAACGTGAAGGAGATATAACGATTCTTTCTCCCCAGCTGCCTCTTAACAGCTTTTGACAATAAATGTCAGTGTTTTAAGGCAGTTACGGCCTCTAGGGTCTTCTGGACCACTGGATAACGGCTGCCACTCATTGATTTTTGCTAGGCAGCCAGTGACTTACCACTCAGATTAATAATTAATTTGGCAGATATTGAGGGGAGGGGGGAGGGGGGGTTGGTTGAATGCCCACACCTCCAGTTTGCTCTAACCTGATAGAAACGGATTGTCCTATGGTGTAATGATTTACTCTAATTAATGAAGTTTACATAGATTTTCTGGAAACTTCATAAGAAAGAATCAGATAATGCTTTATAAAATCACTTTAAATGGGGAAAAAAAATCTAATTCATTTTCTTAGCTTGTGTGCTTGAAAAAAGTATTTTTATTTGGTCTTAACATCATTGAGCTTGCATTTGGTCAGAAAACCAGTAGGTTCGCTCCTTTTCCCCAGCCCATTCATGCAAGGATTTTCTTTCTTTGTTGCTTTGCCTATGGTCTTGAATTCTAAACCTTTACCTATAATTTGAGCTGAATACCTTGTTTTTAATGCAGCTCTGCTAAGCTGATGAAATTCCCTGGGAAGGGCATTCATCAGGATATTGTGGGATTTCACCTTTTGTTGTTGTAAGTCCAATCCTGTAGGCCAGTCAGAGAGATAAATGTTGGTTTTACAGTGAGCAAAGAAAGTCATGCAGTGTGCACATTTCCAGCAAAGTGAGCAGATTGGGGTAACATTCATATTTGACCTTCATTTAAATTCCCTTCCTGAGATAATCAAAGAGAGAGCCTTGCTGTGCTATTCATCTTGAAGCAACACGATCCGCCCCACTTCTTTTCCCAAACTGCATGGACACGTGCATAAGAAATGAGAGGGTTGTCACAGCTTGACACATGATTAGCAGCAACGTCACTTCTATGGCAAGTACACACACGAACAGACGTAAATTACTCTATGCAATTTATGGATTCGCTTCAAATGATACTGACATATCTAGACACATGGCCTAGTTCCCTCTTTGCTTTACCTATATATAATTCCCTGTCTCCCGTGTCCTTGACCTGCCCTCCTGAAATCCCCTTATCCTAGTTTTCCCTTTATTCTCTCACCATTTGTCAGCCTCCCACTCACCTTTCCTGCTACTCTGTCTTTGTCCTTCATCATCAGTTACTCTTTCAGTGTTTTCCCATTACTTACCCAAGCGCTCTTGATCTGAACTCTCTTCACTCTCTTTCAGTCAGTCATTAAGTATCTCTTCAAATGTTTTTTGTACCGGTGCTCATGCAAGTCTCATTTCTGTTTTCCCGCAGTATGTCTCAGCTGGATGTCTGCTGTCCCTTCATCACAGTGAGAAGCCGGAGCACGAAGAAGTGTGTGAGTTCCGCCCCTACACCTGCCCATGCCCGGGGGCTTCCTGTAAATGGCAGGGCTCCCTGGAGGCCGTCATGCCACATCTCATGCATGCCCACAAATCCATTACCACCTTACAGGGCGAGGACATTGTCTTTCTGGCCACGGATATTAATCTACCGGGGGCTGTGGACTGGGTCATGATGCAGTCATGTTTTGGTCACCACTTCATGCTGGTTCTAGAGAAGCAGGAGAAATACGAGGGACACCAGCAGTTCTTTGCCATCGTGCTGCTCATTGGCACGCGAAAGCAAGCGGAGAACTTTGCCTACCGCCTCGAGTTGAACGGCAACCGTAGGCGGCTCACGTGGGAGGCCACGCCGCGCTCGATCCATGATGGCGTAGCAGCAGCCATCATGAACAGTGACTGTCTTGTGTTTGATACCTCTATTGCCCACCTGTTTGCAGACAATGGCAACCTGGGTATCAACGTGACCATCTCCATGTGCTGAGGTGGCAGCGTAAGGCTTTATCCAGTGACCCAAACCTTGGACAACCTCTGCTCCCTATCAGACTGCAGGATCTGAAGGCAATGGTTGGGAGATGTATACATTTGTGTATATTTCGGTTCAAGAGTCATCCGCTAAAACAGCGCACACTTTCCAGATTCACAAGTAGGTTAGTTTGCTAGGTTAGGATGACAAGAGTCCTTCTCGAGATGAAGCGGGGATTTGCAGGTGTTAGCAACCCGTTGAAGGCATTGGTGCAATTGAGAATTTCTTTTGCACACCGCAACTTTCTGATTACGCCTTCAGTAGAAGTTCAGGTGTGGATAAATACCATCACAGAATCAAAATGCTAACTTGGGAAGAGTCTAGGCATGAAGGTGTAACATTTGCCTCAGAAGCTTCTAAAACCTATGTTGTACAAAACTGCACTACTTTTAGTCTATGGATATTGCGTGAAACCATGGAAATTGTACATGGCAATGTAAATGGTAATCCTCTGAATTTCATGGTTGTATATTGGCTTGATAAAACAATGCCCATGGTGGAAATGCAGTGTGCATGGTGGAAATAAAATTCACTTGCAAAAATGAGTATATAGCCACCATGTTTTTAAGGCAAGAATCTGACCTCTTCACTATGTTTTTTCTTTTAATCTGTCGTCAATGTTGCAAGACGTAATGAGGACAATACTTTGTTTATTTTATGGTCCTTATCCAGAGTAGAGAACTGGTTTGTGATCAACACAAATATAAGCTCAATAAAATGACAGAACTACAGCCAACCATTTCAAATTTTGTTACCCATGATCTAATGCCACGATTTTTTTTTAAAGGGATAGTTGGCCTATAAATGATAAATCTGTTATTTAATTGCCCTTATTTGCGGAGCACCAAAGGAGAAGTTAAGTAGAATATCTCCGCTGTTCTCTAGCAGAGGACAAAAAGCACCATATAGACCATACAACCTGTGCTCTATATTTCAAGTCTTCTGAAGCCATATGATAGCTTTGTTAAGAGGCAGACTGAAATGTAAGGCTTTTTACTGAAAATATCTAATTGTATGAAAAAGAGCAGCTCACACATTTTGCTAGATGACTTCTATACAGGTTTCAATAACACAAGGTGAGGAAATGACAATTTCCATTTGTTAATGAACTATTTATTTTATATAGGTGTTCCACCTTTGCGTTTTAGCGTACTTTGTCTTGTCAACAGTGACTGTATGTAAAAGATTTAGCCTGTGCACAAACAACAACTGTTATTTTCTCGTTGATAAAGTGTCCGCATTTAATTGGTTTTGTTGTCTTTGTACTTTTTCTTACTTTATATTTAAGGTATCTTTAAGAAAAGCTTTTGTAAAAATATAAACAACTTTAGTTTTGTTGGTATTTGTTGTTACTGTTACGTCTCTTACAAAATGATCGTTTAGTCTAGCTTTGTTTACTCTAGTTCTTTCAAACCCAGTAAGATCTGAGCAATTTCTCACTCTCCTCTTTGATCAATGAACCCACACAATGCCTTACTAGTATACAAACTCAGTATTTTAGAGTCTACCGCCTTCTAGGACTCCGTGTCAAGTTCAGGTCACTATCCTCCAAACCTCCAGTGTCTTGAAAGACTTAAATTTTACAAAGTGGCATTTTGAGTGGGAAGGACATGGCACGTCATTCTACTTTGCCCCCAAAACCTGCTGCAGTAACCGTTTCACTTACACTGATCAAGTACAGAACCCAGCCTCTCTTCAAATACCTCTGATGACTTTGGAGATGTCTGTGCGAGAAGAGCATTGATATCCCTGAATGTGGGTGGTTCTGTGAAGAGATCTCAAGTTTGATGCACAACTGACGCTCTCAGCTCTTCTTCATATGTCTGCTGTTTTACTCCTTCTGAAAAATAATTTAAAAATGTAAATTAAATGTTTTATAAATCTGTTGTGGAGCAAATGTATTGATTTTGATATTGATTTTTTTTACATTTAGAGACCCATAGGACAAGATGAAAGTGTGCTCATGTGGTCAATGTCTCCGCTCCTCAAACACATGGACAGTCTCTCGTCCCCGATGCTTGTTCTCTCTACATGCAGTTGTCACGGCAACTAAATATGCAAATGAGAAATCTAGCTCATTCATTCCTAGAAGAAAATTCTTGTATATATATTTTTTAAAATGTTCTTGATTAGTCTGAAATCACTTTTTCACACCTTTTTTGTAGATTACTTCAAAATTAGTGAATCTGTCATGGTATATACAGGTCTTGGATCATTCCTCTAAAGATCTATAAGAAATTATGCAGTTGAACCAAATGGATGGTGACTGTACAACCTCTATAATTTTAAGTCCTGCATAAAAATATCAAATGCATGTTGAACAGGACAAAGTACCTGCATGTAGATCACAAGCCCTGAAGGAAGCTCCAAGCTTCCAGGTCTATGGGGCATGACTCCTACGGCATTGGGATGACAATGCAAAGCTTGTGCAATAAAGAATAACAATTTAGTCACAGAAAACAGAACCATGTTCAGTTCGCACATTTAGCCTAATCCGTTTCTATTTTCAAATAAAACACTGATATATTCTGATGTCTTAATTCTGATATGACCATCCACTTCTTGTAGCTTGTTGCAGATTGTTGTAGCTCCAAGACAGAGACAAGACATATACCATGTCAAAAGAGACCACCAGGCATCTGTCTCTCTCCCACGGCATTTTAGACTCCCATACACAGAAGTGAACACAAAACTGAATAAATACATTTTAATGAAGTGAGCAGGTTGTTTCCTGAGCTGTGTGCCATTCCTTGCAATCAAGCCATCACGATCAATATTGAGCACCACATCCTAATGAACTTGCGAATAAACAAGTCTCTGTCAAGGAGTAGAATACTTAACATTCACGGCAATGAAATGATGAGATGTTTCCTGTGCCAACCCAGTGATACAAATATTAGCATGTGCGAGTTTACAGGTCCATCAATATGAAAAACCCTAACCATAGTTATTTCAAATGCACGATTTGAATAAAAGGTATTTTAAATAAATAAAGGTTAAAGTCACAATGAAACACAAGTACTGACATCTTTTCTTCGGTACCGTGATGTACATCTGAGTGAAACAGATTATCAAAAAAGAAAAAAATGTAGGGTGGAAACTTGGTTCAGTCCATTGACTGTTGAATAAATTTAGGCAAATCTGCTGAATGTGAGCTTGTTGAGCATTCAAGCCCTCCAGGGAAGTTCATATTTACAAGTTGGGAAGTCGTAATTATGATGCTGGGTGCATTCAAAATTGATTTGGTTTAAGTAAGATGGCAATGTAACGTTCCTACAAAATGGAAAGTTAAGCAAGATTCTCCACTTCAAAACTAAGAATAAAGAATGTGCATCTGTGTTTTTGCTTTTTAATGTTCTTATTAAATTCAAGAAGGTTCTGTAAATTGTTATATACTCGATCATGATTGTACAATAATATCGTATTTTTTGTACATGCTTCGCACCATGTCAGGTTCTAAGCAGGCGTACAAACTTTTCCTTGTGGCAGAGTCGTAGTACTACAGGTATTTGGAAATCTTAGAAAATCACAGGGTAGGGGAGTTTGATCAGGGTTGGAGCTAAATTCTGCAGTGCACTGGCCCTCCAAGGCAAGATTTGATGAACCCTGATTTAGATGTTGAGTGGTGCTGTTTTATATGCAGTTGCTATTTATAGATTTCACATCTGGAAGAGAGGCGTGCACATGTTTTTTGTGCGTACGTTGGAATCACACGTACGCACATTTGAGAATTGAGATTTGATCAAAAGTAGGACCGTTTCTATGGAACATTTTATAAATGAGGCTCCTGAATTTCCCACTCGTAATTATGACTTTGTGGTGGAATTCATGTGCGTTCAACTCATAAATACAATATTTCAGAAAAGATTTTATTGCACCTTTGCAGTCAATTGTAAGAAAAGTGTAGTTAAATAAATTGTTCACAAAAAGAACATGCATTTAGAAAATAGATGAATTTATTACATGCATGACATCTTGTAAACAAAACCTGGAACATACACTCTAAAAAATGCTGGGTTGTTTCAACCCAATGTTGGCTCAAATATGGACTAACCCAACTGTTGGGTTAAAAAGCTCATTTAAAAATTTAACCCAACAGTTGGGTTAGTCCATATTTGACCCAACATTGGGTTGAAACAACCCAGCATTTTTTAGAGTGTATACTATCCATCTCACAGAAATCACAACCATTTCAATAGTCAGTACTGCAATATATTAGTCTTGCTTTCTCACCCAATTCTACTTTTAATTTCTGTTTTTAGAGGCTATAGTAATATAATTTGCAGTATTGAATGGTGTTGCTGCAGAAAGCTAATATTTTGTTTTCGACCTGTTCCTTTAACTATTATTTAACATTCTCATGGTAAATATTCACGATTTAGTTTGGAAAATACTGACTGTGGCTAAAATGTCAATAAGATTGCTTACAACTACAGAAGACGGCTACATCCAAAGACCTGATGACCTGTTTGTATATTTAGATGGAGTTCCATTAAGAACTAGTGTGAACATCTTTTTATCTCTGTTTTTTGATTGCTTATTGAAAATGGGGTTGGTGATCGATGTAGTCTAACGTGAGCATTGCAAGGAAGGACATCACACAGGGGTACAGCATACACTATTAAAGTTCAGTGCAAACAGATATTTGACCTTTAACTTGAACGTTTAGTGTCTGTGAAGAGTCACATCTGCAGTACTCCTGATTGGCCAATTATGAATACTTCGTATTCGACCGCTCATGAATTGAACAGATCATAGTAACTCGTGGTTATAACAGATTGACTTAAGGGTGATTAGCTTAATTTACTGTATTAAAAGCTGTGCTAACTGTGTAATGTTTTGCTATGAAAAGAAATTGGGCATGAAAGGAAGTGTGTGATTTTATTTTTTATCAGGCTAGATAAATTTACAGCATCAGCCCAGATGTCCAATAATCACACCACACATTTTAATGTTCAACTTCGTGTTTATTACTATTGAATTCTGTGTGTTTATTTACTCAGTATATCTGTGTAATTGTTTTATCTTTTCTTGCTAGGTTATTGAATATGTTGTCGTGGCCATAGCGATCATAATTATTCATTAGCGATGAATTGCTGTTTCCTGTTGAGCAGGTATAAATGGGTAATGTACACATCTGCTTGGTCTGATATTGTTTTTGTTTTTTTTAACTGAACACACTTAACTAAATGTATTTTAATAGTTTTACAACTGAATCCATAATGATTGGTGTACTTTGATTGCATCGTAATTTTGGAGTTTATTGTTGACACTGTTAAACAAGACATTTTTGGTCTTTGTACCATTTAAATTCAAATAAAATTTGTGTATTAAAAGCTGTGCTAACTGTGTAATGTTTTGCTATGAAAAGAAATTGGGCATGAAAGGAAGTGTGTGATTTTATTTTTTATCAGGCTAGATAAATTTACAGCATCAGCCCAGATGTCCAATAATCACACCACACATTTTAATGTTCAACTTCGTGTTTATTACTATTGAATTCTGTGCGTGTTTATTTACTCAGTATATCTGTGTAATTGTTTTATCTTTTCTTGCTAGGTTATTGAATATGTTGTCGTGGCCATAGCGATCATAATTATTCATTAGCGATGAAATGCTGTTTCCTGTTGAGCAGGTATAAATGGGTAATGTACACATCTGCTTGGTCTGATATTGTTTTTGTTTTTTTTAACTGAACACACTTAACTAAATGTATTTTAATAGTTTTACAACTGAATCCATAATGATTGGTGTACTTTGATTGCATCGTAATTTTGGAGTTTATTGTTGACACTGTTAAACAAGACATTTTTGGTCTTTGTACCATTTAAATTCAAATAAAATTTGAATTTATTTGTCAAATGAGTGTACTGTGTGTAACATGATGCCAGGTAGCCATTATACAGTTAATTACTGCAGACAGATATTAAAAAATTCTATACCCCCCCAAATATACTGTATAAATGACTATCTCTGCTCAATTTCACCTGTGTTCTCTTTCACGACTGTGATCTCCGTGTTTGGTAAACCCTTGGTCATTTCCTCTGTCTCGCTCCCTTCTGTCTCCATCACGTTCCCTTTCTCTCTCACGCTCTCTTTCCCCATTATTCTCTCTATCAACACCCCTTCCTTTATCTCGTTCTCTGTCTCCCTGCCGTGTGTCTTCATGTCTTTTATCCTCTCGGTTTCTGTCTGTCTTTTTGTCGTCTTCTCGATCCCTTTCCCTCTCACCTCTATACCTATCTCTGAATCTGTCCACCTCATCTGCTCTGTCTTGTGGGTTCCTGAAGTCTTGTCCCGATCTGTCCCTTCTGCTTCCTGCCGGTCCTTTCACGGCATACTTCTCGTATGTCGTGTCCTCCTTCTCCTTCTTCACTCTGACATGAGATGATGCTGACGGCTCAGTCCGTGCCTCATGTTTCTCTTTCTTTAGTGCTTTTTTCTTCTCTTTCTTCTCCTTTTTCTTCTCCTTTTTATCTGAAGTATAACAATAAATCAGTCATTTAGTCAAAAAACTAAAATACTGTTTATTAAATAATAAAAGATAAACATCTTGAAAAAAATCGTATCAAATAACCTCTTTTCACCTTTTTTTGGCTTTTTCACAGGTACAGCATGTTCTTCCTCAGACCCTGACTCAAAGGAGGAAGGCAGGGGCACTTTAGGAGCACATCCCTCTTCTCGCAAACATTTAGTGACATCGTCAATGTCTTCGTTGTCCTTGGGTGGTCGATAATTTGCTACATGGTCCACACGTATGGTTCGCCCCTTAATCTTTAAAGCAGAAAAAAAATAACAATTAAGAAACAAAAATATAAGCAACACATGAGTCAATTACATGACACTATTATTTCCCCGATATATGAGTTCCTTTCTTAATGAATAAATGAAGGAAGGAATGAATGAATGAATGAAATAAAATATAATAATTTGACCTCTTTATAACAAACTAGGGCTGGGCGATATGGGCAAAAATATTATCACAATATATTTATTTTCCATATCATACAATATTAATATTTGTCACAATATTAATTTACCGTTAATGGGGAATTAAATACTGTCCACATGTTTTAGGCCTTGAGAATAAACAAACATAACTTTGTTCACAATAATAATAATAATAAAACAATTTTAAAAAAAATTCAGGGCCCCATGAAATCGGTTTTATTTTTTCCTTAAAGGGGTCCTATGATACGATTTCAATTTTTCCTTTCTCTTTGGAGTGTTACAAGCTCTTGGTGCATAAAAAAGATCTGTAAAGTTGCAAAGACTAAAGTCTCAAATCCAAAGAGATATTCTTTATAAAAGTTAAGAGTCAGCCACACCTACCTAAAACAGCTCGTTCTAACACGCCCCCACATATCTACGTCACGATGTGGGAAGATTTGCATAAAGCCGCCCAAATGTTCACGCAAAGAAAGAAGGCGTAACTTTTATTCTCGCTGTAGTATTGTTGTTGCCGCCGCCATGTCGTGAAGACGCTGTTTGTTTCGTTGTGAAAGCGAAACTACTTTGTTTGGTCTTCCAAAAGAGGACGATATCCACTTTGTCATGCCTGGAGCTGATCCGTGCTGGTCGCTGAGGAAATACATCAACTTCGCGCTGTAGATCGCCGGATCGGCTTTCACCGTGGACGAAGCGGAGTCCAGCCCGGGGTCGTCACATGTGGTTGCCACAAGCTCACCGGACGCTCCTTCGTTGAATTCGCCAGCCGCGCCGTTCTCAAGCCTGCCGGCCGCTGCTCACTCTAGCCCACCGTGTGTTTTGTTGTGAAAGCGAAATTACATAGTTTGGTCTTCCAAAAGAGGACACGACTAGAAATCAGTGGTTAAGTTGT